TTTGTATTGTTAATAAATTCTAATTAAAAACATTTTCAAAGTTAAGTTAATATTTGTTTAACGCTTTTTAAGCATCAAATGAGTGCCAAAAAAGAAGATAAAGCGAAAATGTAAAAGAATTTTCATTCATTACATTTGCATGTGTTTAAAGCACTACAGAATAATATACTTAACATTTAGTGACAAAATAAACAAATTTAGACAACTTTTCCTCTAAAACTCTCTCTTTCTCTACCAGTGCTTAAGGTTTGGGGAAAATATGTCTTTAAAATTCACTTCTCTTTGAAAAGACACGCCTTATATATGAATATATAGTAAATATTTCTTAAGAAATGTTATTTTTTACGTAATCCTAAACACAAACTCTTATACAATATAAAGGAGAGTCACTTCAAAAGGCAGCACAAGAATTGTTGAATCGATTGAAATCAATATATATTTTTGTTGAGAGACAGAAATACTGTGCAAACAATTGAATTGTTAAACACTATGTGTGGTGTGTCTGACAAACGGTTGCGAAAGTTAGAGTACAGTTATATAACTTATATGTCGTGTAAAACACATAAATCAAATGTTAGCTAAAGTTTTAATCTCTTTAATACAAAAGCCCTTTACTATCGTTATTACTATTGTTATCGCAGAGAAATTCCTTTGCCATCCATAGAAATAAATCATTTAATTATATAAAAATGGACTCAAAACTTAACTTTACATTATATACTGTTTTTAACCACAATTCATAAATGTGGTTAATAGGATCGTTCGGCTACCCCTCCTAATCAATAGTTTAAGCATCGCCCGAATTGTGGTTAACGTATGGCATCGCTATGTAAACCTTGTTTGTAATCAATTACTGCAATTAAATAGCGCGAATATAATGAAATATCTATAAAGTAATATAAAAAAATACATTTAAATTCAATGTCAAAGTGTGGCTCTCGTAGTGATCGTTGACTGTGAGGTACGTTTGCGAGCAGTGAATGCAATGAATGTCTCACTCAATACGTAATGCATTACTAATGCTGTGCTGACTGTCACTCACTTCTACAGAGTGTTTATCAGTTTTGTGAAGAAATTATAATAGTTTGACTCGTTTTTGATCACAAACTCAATGATTGATATAATAGTAATCAATGAATGGTTATATGATGTGAGAGTTGCACTGTTTTGTGAGTTGTGTTGTGTTTTGTGGCCATAAATCAAAACCCATATATTTTGTGCATTGAATCCAATGGTAAGAAATGAATTCATTTCTTGTGATAAACACCACAAGAGTTGCACTAAAAATACAATATTAATGATTGAGATAAATGTGTTTTATTTTACACATATTATATACATTATACAGCTATTCAACCACTTATTCAATGGTTATATCCATTGTATTAACGCATATATTATATGCAAATAACAATTAAATGTCATTTTATTGAATACTTCCTCCTTTTAGTGGCAGAGGTTTTGCCTGTTTTTTGTGTTTCTCTTGTTTTCAAATGTTATATATTTTTTGATAAATTTTAAGCAATTATTTAAGTTTTGAATTGAATTTATATTAAGTTTAATAAAATGTAAAATTGAGTTAAAATGTATTTAAGGGCCAAAATTGAGACTCAAATAAGCGATTGAATTCATAATGCGTTTGACATTCAAATGAATTTTGAATGCAATTCATAGAGAGATATATAATATGTATATTTTGTTCACTAGTTTTGCTGTGCATTGAAAACAACGGCAAACAAAACAGCGTTTAATCGGAAAAACAATTTTATATATGATTTATAGTCTCCGTAATCAATAAAAAGCATCAAAACTGTTGTCCTATTTTTCAAATATTAAATGTGATGTCTATTCATGTATTCAGGAGTCGTTGAATGGCATGAAATATACATTACATTTGATGTGAAATCTCTTTCTTTCCTTACTTTTCATACAAAATAAAAGTATTTTTCGATTTTTATTATTGAATACGAAATAAATCTCATGTTTTATTTCGCTTTACTTTTGGGTTTTTGTAGAAATATTTTTCTCTTCTTTTATGGCTTTCTTTATTTTGTGCACAAATTGTCTGATAATTTACATTTGAAACTCAATTTTTGGCCAAAAATGTTTATCACTTATTATTATTATTAGAGACACTAATAGAGAGATCACTAGTTATCCCAAGAAGTAGTGCCGATAATGTGTGTCAAAGTTTAGGGCCAAAGGGTTTTTATAGCTATCATTAAAGCTTTTCGTCCAAACAAACAAAAGTGTGATATTTATTTTGTTTGCGATTATTTTGGCTAAATATTTATTTTAAATACATTCTGTTTATTGCTTTTAAATGAGTCTGGATTTTAAATCTCTCTCTGAGTTATCATTAATGACAAAACGTTTAATTTATGGCTTAAATAATTACAAATTCGTGATACTTTTGCCATCAAATCTCACAAACAGAGATTTATTTTTCTGTAAAAGGGGAAATTTTATGTAAAGGCAGATTAATAATTCATAAATTAATTATAAAACGTTAGTTAAAGATTAAATTAAAAGTTTCGTTTAACATAAGTAACGACTTACTTACTACCTAACCTAAACATATGAATTTGAATGAAACAAATTGTATTGATCTCATCACAAGAGCTTCCAATAGAAACAGTTCAAGAATTCCCAGATTTTTATCAAACATTGTTTGCAATATTCGTGTCAATCCATTAAATGACAGCAATTATCAACGAAATCACAAATTTTGGAAAAAGTATTTGAATCTCAACGCAAAGGAATCCAAAATTCCTGTCTTTCGGTCGAAATATTGTTCCGATTATAAGCGACAAAACGATCAAAACAGTGGACAAAACAATATTAATGTCAATGAAATTGAGAGCAAATCAAACACAAGTAGTTTTGATAATTTTGATGATTTAAAACTAAATTTACAATCAAAAGTAGAATTTAGTTTTGCATCTAATGGTTGGACACAATCCGAACCAATCGATTGCCTGAAGTTTGTAATAGCGATCATTAGACGTGATATAAGTACAGACGACAAGTTGAAAGCTATTAAACAATTTCGAGATCAGATAGTTTTGCATCTAATGGTTGGACACAATCCGAACCAATCGATTGCCTGAAGTTTGTAATAGCGATCATTAGACGTGATATAAGTACAGACGACAAGTTGAAAGCTATTAAACAATTTCGAGATCAGAGACTGGGAATTGTCGGACAAAATATGGATAAATATAGCGATGAGAGAGTGAGGGAATGGGTTGACAGCGGGTATATCAGCAATAGTACGAGTGTTGGCCATAACGACGATGTCTTCAAACCAAACGAAGTGATTGAACCAAAAGTTGAGACACCGATGAGTCCAACAAATCCGATGATTAGCGCCAGAGTTAAGGAAATGGTTTATCCGCGAAGAAGTTTCAAAAATATGCGAGCGATGGACTTAATCGCACTGAACAGCAAATATAATAGTTTCAATTCGGATATATCCATGACTAGTATATCCAGTATTGAGTCTTTACTCGAGTCCAGACGCGAAGATCCGGAAGAATTGCTTTTGGCTCTCGGTTTTGGTTACGTTCCCGAAGACCAGACACTTAACAGAATTCCTCAACGATTCCTCGAATCTCCCTCTTCTGCCAAAGGAGTGAATCCCGAAAACGTTTACAATAGTTATGGCATGAAAGACATTCCGAGTCTCTCCCCTTCGGTGTCCTTTCCGTCAACAGGTTTGACACTATATTCCCAATCAGTCTATGGCTTATAACTTCTTTGCATAACTATTTGCTGCACAATCTTTAACTAACATTCATTTGCTTTTAAATTACGACATTTCTCTGCTGTTAACTAAATATTCTGTAATTTGTATCTCGATTTCAAATTTTCTGTAACAATAATTTCTCTATTTTCGCCTTTTCTGTTAATATCGACACGTTTTGTGTATAATAAACAAAAATTATTTAAATTTAATAAAATTCTGAGCATTTGTGTCTCTATAAATAATCAATACATTTAGCGAATGAAACGATGTTTTTGTTTTGTGTAACAGATTTACGCGAAAGAAGTTATAGCAGCGGAAGAATCAGCGATCGATTCAAGAAACGCTTCAACAGTAAAGAGTCGCCAACGAAAACAGATTTACCAGAAATCATAACCTCGTCGTGCGGTTCGTTGCCTCAAACCGACAGTATATTAAATGCTGCGAACCGTATGTTTCTCGACAACCAGGGAAAGGAAGACCAGCCCAACCAACTCAGCTCTAAACGGCTCATAATCGGCACTAAATCTTATAAACTGGACACAGACGGCGATCCCTTGGAGTTTCCCAAAACTCCGTCCCCATCGCCGGTCATCGCAACACCGATGCCGACCACCGACGCGATGGACGTCTCGCCTATATTTACAAACGACGAACAAATTTTAGACATCAATAGAGACAACAATTTTTCTCAGTTTATTAAACGAAACCCATTTCAGCGACAGAATTGTGTTTCGAGTCAGGAATTAAGTTTCAATGAATCCATTATGAGATCGTCGATGAACGACATGTCATCGGAATTGTCTTCGAGCACAACGACACTCATTGGAACCGTAATCAGTGGTACAAACGAAGCTCCAGTCGACTATTCCAGCGATTATTGTGACAATAAAATGAATGCATTCGTTCAGACGGACAGGGATTTGGAGGAAATTAATTGCAATAAAGCGGTCGAAGCGGCGCTAATAGTGGCCATTCAGAGTCTGCGGCTATCGCTCGAGTTTTATAGACACCAGTCTTTAAAATTGGCCAAAATATGTGCCCAAAAATTCAACCAATTGTCGGATTTGGTTGAAGAAGATTTGGCGGACGTCTCGAAGATTCACGAATTGAGAGAATGTATTCATAAAGAAACGGTCGAAATGGATGTCGTATTGAATCGACACTTACAGCTCATCCATACGCGCGATATCGTCGACATATCCTTCTTATCTCAGGCCCAGGTATTCACTGAAGCCGTTAAAAAGGTTAGTATTTTGAATGTTTTCAATGTAACAAAATATATATTTATTAATAAATAAATTTAATCTTCAGGTGAAACAACTTCTCACTGAACAGAAGAACTTGTATTCAAGACTTGGTTTCACCGAATGTGACAATTATTGATGTCTTTCTATTGTTTATATTCCTATTATGTTTTGATAGTCTTTGAAAACTCATTCCGTATACCATTCGTGTGTTTAGTCGTTAAGTTTTTGTTTTGTTAAAATACAGTATATATTATAGTATTATTTCGTTTTTATAACTTCTATTCAATTCCTTAAACGGCAATACAATTGAATTCAAAACTATTATTTCGGAACAGATTTGAACGTTTGAACCTAAAAGACAATATATTATACATTTTAATTGAGACATATTTTTATACAATTGTATTATAATGTGATTTATAAATATATATACTATACAATATTTACCCAAAACTGTAATCAATGGATTAAGTTTGCCGTCGCCGTCAAAGAGGGGCTGATTATCGATTTTGGCGAACGCTTTGTTGGGGTTCGGGTCACAGGGAGTGCCCTCCACTCGTGACCACAGGCCTACTGTGCAGTTCCAGCCAACTATTGAGTGCATTATTATCGAGTGATCCTGTATTGTGGCGTTTCTTAAGATAATAGACTCTTTAACCCGAACTCCGGCCCCTATTTTGACGCCTTCGCTGATACTAACGTTAGGACCAATCTTTGCGAAACATTGTATCAATAATTAAGTCATTTGTTATGAAATGATTATCAAATATTTTTTAAATAAATGTTTTAACAATGAATCCAATGAAATGAAACTTACGGTCGCCGACGGGTCGATAGAAGCGGACGGATCTATGAAGACATCGCCCAATATCTTAGGTCCCGAAGGGGTGTCCAAAGAAAGCAGTTGTGGAGTTGTTTTGCGGTAAAGTTTCAAATAGTTTCTGTTGGCATAAATGGCCGAACCGGCGGTTTTCAGTTGACTCCACCACTCCTGACACGTCTTAAACACAAACACATTCTTCGTCTGCGAGAGAGGCATCAGAACGTCTTCTTCAAGACTAATGCATTCAAACATATTGTCTCCGTTTGAGAGACCATTCGTGCCGTTAGTATTCAGATTCAGATCGTGTGAATCGCCGCCAGCGCTGTGTCTTCGCCTAAAGATCTCTCCGATATCGTAGAATAGATCCGATTTAAACAAATAAATGCCACAATTGATTGTCGTACTGATGAACGTCTGAGGCTTTTCCACGTAATGCAGAACCTGATGGCTATCTTTGTCCTCAACGATACAACCTTTGCATTGAAAGACAATTATGAGATACTTCTGCCTCAGAATCGGTAGCAATAAATACAACGATTGATACCGTAATTGAATGACTGCTGACGAGTGGCTTCGGTGGCCATAATTGTGATCAACTTATTATTATTGGGAAGATTTCGATGAAAGTCAAGCATCTCTTTGAGAGCAAACTCTCCGCAAACGTCGCCATTGATAAGAAAGACCGCTTCGGGATCTCCGACACGAATCTGGTCGCGGAAGTGATAGATCCCGCCGGCGGTGCCCAGAGGTGTGTACTCTTGCAGATATCGGACAGAAATGTTGTATTTCCTGATCATTGAATCGATGAATTGGGCGAACATATGGATCGGATAGAAGCCGATGAGGAATATCTCTTTCATGCCGTGAACGGCAGCGCATGCCTTAACCAAGTGCTCGACCATCGGAAGGCCCGCCACAGGAAACAGCGGTTTCGGACTGTCCAACGAGAGCGGCCGGAATCGGGTCCCTGAAAGTGATGCATACAATATTGTCATCTGCAGCTGGAAGTGATAATTGGCCGAAGAGGTGGCGGACATACCCTTCTGCGGTCCGCCCATCAGTATAACTGATTTCAACATTTTGTGGTAACAGTGATAATGAGCTGATTGTGGCCTCAATTAAGCGGCGATTGCTTTACACGTCATTCACAACACGTCTCCCAAAGTGTTCACCGATTTGTTTGTCAACAAAACTTTTCTCAACCAATCATTTAATCGCAAACTTAACGTACTTTATGTCAAAGTTCTTGAATTTATTGATTTTGTTTCAAATTTGAAACAAAAGCTTAAGCTTTGAATTTTGACTCAAAATTGTTTAGAAATGTCTTCAGACGGGAAGCGATTGAAGGCAACGAGTGTTGTGTCCGTTCAAGACATCCATTCACGAAGAAGTCATGTCTTGAGTGACGATATCTTGGGATTGATTTTCGATGAATTAAATGTCAAACAATTGTTGAGATTAGAGTCGGTTTGCAATCAATTCGTGGATTGTGTCGGAAGTGCTCTCCAGAGGAAGAATGGATTAAGGATTGGATACAAAGCATACAATTGTAATAAAGAAAATTTCCATTTATTGAGTGACGGAGACATCACTGAAGCCATTGTTCACGAAGGAGAGCATAATCTCTATGATTACAAAGAGGTCTTCGACTGCGCTTTGACTCCAATACTCGGGAAGTGTTTAAACATAACGTCTTTGTATTTAAGCGATGTTATAATTAGGGGACACAATATATCACTGATTGCGAGCCGATGTCCACAACTCAAGCGCTTGTATTTACGCGCGATCGACACAATCGGGTCACACGAAGAGTTGATGAACGCTTGGAAACCATTGTTGTCTCGATTGTCTCATTTGACTCTCGAGGGAGGATTTGATGATAACATAAACGGTGTTATGCGACAACTGTTACCACAACTATCATCACTGGAATCGAGTGAATTGAAATTTGAAATGCATGAATTGCATGGCGATGGTAACGATGACATCAATGACATCAATGATCAAATGTTTCAATATTTGCCGCAAACAATTCGTTGTCTTAAAATAACGATTATAATTGCAGATCACATAATAAATAACATACCGTGGGATGCATTGGCGAAGAGATGCCCGCATCTGGAAGTGCTTCTCATTCATTGTTTCGACGACTCGAGTGATTTGTTTGCACTGATTTGCACTCATTTTCAACTCAAACGCTTACATTTCAAATCCTATAAACTGCCTTTCGATGTGATCGCCCAAAACGTGGTAAAACTCAATCAATTGAAACATTTGTCTCTCGATTCACTCATTGATATCAACACAAATGTCATGCAATCGATGCCTACACTAAAGTCTTTGAGTTTAGATCATATGGTATGCTATCCCAAAAAGTTAACTCATTTGAGACAAATATATCCAAATGTGAAACATTTACGTCTGAATTACATTACAATCATATGCGAGTGCAATGAACACAATGAAGATAATGAAGATAATGAATCCGATGACAGTGACAATGATAGTACTGGTGCCAAACACAATAATTGTCTACAATGTATACGTAATTGTCTGTACTTTTTATCACAATTACCAAAACTCAAACGATTTTATATAAAATGTACTTTTGATTTGCGGTCCATTGAATCCAAAGATCTGAAACTATTCACTGAACTAAACGTCTTTTCTTTGAAAGGATATAAAAATATCGAGAAATTGATTGAATTTATTATACATTGTATTGAAAACAGAGTTTCGAAGAAGTATTTGAAACTTAAATTGGATCCAAATATTATTGACTCACTTATCGATCGATTAAATGATATGTTTGTAACGATTCCTAAGAATATTATCATTGAATCGAATGGATATTCAGATATGTTTCCCGATTAACAAAATTCCGATACAGTATTCAAATGCGAGTTAACAAAAGGATCGACTTCTGGCACAACAAACCATCACTTATACCATATTTAATATACCCGTAATTCTAGTCAATTCTAGTCTATTATGTAAATTTAAAAATCACTTTTACATTCATTAAAGTTATAATGTTTATTAAACAAAGCATTGATTACATATGTATTGACAGCGAAATGTGTCATTTGTTGTAATCATCTTCTAATCCACTTTACATATCATCCAAAAATTAAATTATAAGACTATCGATTGCATCGACAGTTCACTCATATAATACATGTCAGACTTTATTAACCATAACTTAAAGCTATTTATGATTTTTTGTGTTCAAATGTTCGCGAATGGAGTCTTTATCGGCGTTTTGTCGGGCGATCTCTGGATTAAACTGAGAATTATATGTCCGAAGTCTGTCATCCATTACAACCGTTTCGCTTTTGGTCTCCCCGTAGAGTAAGACTCGAGTCCTCTCCTTCTCAACCCTTTCCCTCTCAAGTCTTTCGGCTCTCAATTGTTCAATACTTTTGGACACATTCTTATGTCTATTATCTCGAGAGTCATCTGAACTCTCACTTGAATCACGCCTTCGTTTCTTCTTTTTATGTTTTTTGCTTTTCTTTGATTTTTTATGTTTTGTTTTCACAGACACTAAACTTTCGCGTCTTTTATCGCTATCTTTCGATACCTTTTCCATGCGATTCGGTTTAACAGGAGTTTTGTCTTTGGATCTGCTTTTCATGACATTCAAGTACTTCTTCATATCCTCTATCGGATCGTTCAATGCTTTCTGTTTCTCATCTTTCAATTGTTTCTGCAAATCGTTTGACTCCTCGTCTTTGCACATGAATTTCATGCGCTTTTCGTGTGAATCCAAATACCAGACATCGTTCACATCCGTCTCCTTATTCACCAAATACTGAAGTATTCCTGTCTTTGTCTCAAACTTTTCCTTCTCGTCCTTCACTTCCTTCTCGTAATCACTGTTTTTGGTCCGTATTTTGTCGCCAAAGTCTTTGAATACATCCA